GAATTTATCCTTCAAATGTAATTATTTTTATAGCACTGATTTATATAATTTTATGTAATTCTCTATATTACAGCCAGTGGCATATATGACCCCCATGGCTGGTTATTTTTTATGTCCCTCCCTCCTCTATAGGAAAAATTACTTTTAGCAATATTAATGTTATTAAGGAAATGCCCCTTACGATGGTGGCCAATGTAGTGTCCCTTTATATTGGTAGACAGTGAAAACGTTAGTGTACACTCATACTGGTAGTTAGTAGGGAAATGCCCCTTTACATTAATGACAAAATAGAAAAAAGGTAGCGCCCTAACCAGATAATCAATAATAACAAAAATCCATCATCCAAACAAGAATAAAAAATAAATTAATTGCAAAAAAATAAAAAATTATATAAAAATCAAAAAATATAATCTGTGTGCAAACAAAATATGATAAAACTTCCTCTCACACTTCACTGATCAGTTTGATGTCAAGAAGAAGTTAATGTTCATTGAATCGCCTCCCAATTTCCGATCATCAATCAGCAGATCATTGCTCCCAGAGCAAAAGCATGTGTGCTGGTTTATAATTTGACCAGCATGTTGCTCTGGTGAATTTATTTAATTCATCTGGGGGTGGATTTTTCTCTGTGTTTTGGGTTCATTTCAAAAAATAACAGTTTGGAGCTCTGAAGAAAACACATATTTTTTCTTTATCAAGTTGCACATTGTTATTTGGTTGATGTTAAAAGTTTTTCACTTATTTTTTTTGCACTTAAGGACACTATCATTGGACACATTTTTTATGTTTGGTATTGATTATTCAGAAATATCAATTTCTTTATGATGAAATCGGACACTTTATTTGTTTAATTAGTTGTAACATATTTTGTTTGCACATAAGATTATATTTTTGGATTTTTATATATTTCTTAATTTTTTTCTTCTTTGCAATTAATTTATTTTTTATTCACGTTTTGATGATGGATTTTTGTTATTATTGATTATCTGGTTAGAGCACTACCTTTTTTTCTATTTTGTCACTTTTTACCTTGTTTTGAGGGTGAGGTTTTAGCTGCTCTTTTATTCACAGATTATTTGTTTAATTAGGTGTTTCTAGTGGCGCTATCCATACCTTAAAATTAATCCCTTTACATTAATGCTCTGTGCAATTTATAATCTGAAGATGCTCCTTCTTGTCTTGGAGGCAAAAGGAGACCCCAAAACATGCCTCTTATAATGTTGGTCAGTGTAGTGCCCTTTGGTTTATAATCAGTGAAGAAGTGCCCCTTTGCTTAGTAGTTAGCGTAGTGTCTCCTTACTTTAGTGGTCAGTGAAAAAGTCCCCATTACAGACAGACAAAAAGACTAGATAAGAGAAAATAAGCCAGTAAGGTCAGGTTTTACATTCTGTGTATGTCAACTTTATAGTAACATTTGCCTACTTTTATGGTGGGTGGAGAAATGCCCCCTTATTTTCTTGTACCATGAGGTGCTCCCTTACATTGGTGAACACTGAACTTTGCACTGTACCCTAGAGTTAGTGAGGTACCTTACATTGGTGGTCAATGGAGAAGTGCCTGCTTGCATTGGTGGTCAAAAGGCCCCTTACTGGCTCTTCTAAAAATGCTGGCCATAGTTCAAAGGATTGAGCATTGTAGTTTAAAAAATATTTATCTTGCAGAATCTGTAAAATAATTGGGACAACAATTTTAAAATCTGCAGGATTCAACCCAAACCTATGGTAGCAGTGAACACTGACCTCATCCCTAAAATGTATCCACTTGAAATAAGGACCCACTAGAAGGACTGCTATTACATTTGATTTATAGTCTGATATTATAAACAGTTAATAGGTAAATATGTAAAATAAAATAATAGATATATACTGTACATTTTCTACTGTAAATTACATTTAATTCTACCAGATTACTTTTTGTTACATTTTGCATGATGCTTGTTTTTAATTTGTAAACTGAAACCTTTATACAATGGCTGAAATGTAAAAATATACAAGTATTCTAAGAAGAGGAAAAAACACTTAATTCAGCTGGCTCTGCTCCATTCCAAACACTGGAAATGCTTGCAAAGGAAACAAATGTAAGAAAAATATTTAAAAGACATAAAATGTAGATAAACATTTCTGTTCCTCAACTATAAAACAGATACCCACACACCAACAAAATATCATCAGAATGTATTGTCTCCAGCTCACACATTGAAAAGATTTAACAGTTCTGAAATATGCACTGGTGTGGTGATAAATAAGGGGATATTACAGTTTCTATCAGGCTGAATCGCAATAAGTTTTTTAATTTTCCAAGAATACTGATGGGAAAGGGTGAAAAACAAATAGCAAGGTGATCATTAGTAGTATTTGAGCCAGGTTGTGGGTGCAGCCTGTTTGTGGAGAAAGGAATATCATTCACTTCAATTCATGTGTCTAGCATCAAGCCTTACTTTTAGCTTCCAGACTGTTAGCAAACCAACAGCATCCACTTTAAGCCCTTCTGTAAACCCTCTTTCCTACCCACCAGTCCTACTGACATTCATCTTACAAAGAAGAGAGCACCAATGCAATTCTTGTTTCGGCTTTCTTTGGTCATGTGGCACCTGTTTATAAACACAGACAGGGGCGTCTTCACCACAAGGCAAACAAGGCACTTGCCTAGGGTGGCATTTTTCAGGGGGGGCAGCACCTCCCCTCAGAAAAAGGGATGAAAGAAGGGACACGCATGCCATGGGAACCAGATGGGATCCAAGAGAGGCTGCAGGCTGCTTGATGGTGTATGTAGGGTCTGACTCTCATTCCCAGGGATGTCCGGAGCTTTGAAGATGAGTGTTTTTCTCTCTGTTGCCGGGGATGGGGGGGGGTAGTGGAAGGCTCTCTCGAGTGGTGGACAGGGTGTTGTTGGTCAATGTCAGGATCTCTCCGTGGGAGGGGGAAGAGGGGGGGGGGGGGGGGGGGTTGGTCGGTGTCCAAGGGGGCAGATGATTTTTGTGTTGCCTAGGGCAGCACAAAAACTAATTACACCACTGAACACAGATTAAGTGTAACTACATTGGCTAAATCCCTAATATACATAGGGGAACTTAGGGATGCTTTTATATATTAACCTGTTGCCTCATCTGTAACAGATATGTGCATGAGCAAAATGGTGGGCTTCACCGCTCATATTTTGCACACATGCATCACTGGGCGGCCAAATGTTTCTTTGCTGAGTGCATGCTCACTGCATACTGCCAGCACAGAGACCAGGCTGTTAAAAACAGCTCTTAGACTCCACTAACAATCAGTAGCCGGAGGGACTGACTCTAAAATCACCTGACCACTGTGGCAGCCAATTCTTCCCACCCCCCAGGCATTCAGAATTTTTTAAAACTTTTTTAAAGGGTGCCGGGGTTGGCAGGAAGGGGTTAAGTCAAAGTTAAGTCTATTGTTGGGCAAAGGTACCCTAGGTGTTCTGTCTCTCCAATCTAAACATTGAAAGTGTGATCTCCGTAACTTACAGTTGTGATGAGATAGCGATAACTCTAATCTCAGTTGAATGACACAGCCAGTGACTCAATCCAGAAGACATCTTGTAGATCTTGTGAAGTTTATTCCATAAACTGAGAGAATCTTACAACAATGAACATCGGATAGGTCAAAAGATCATAATGTGACCTGCTTCATGACATGAGGCTATAAGCTGCAATGCCTTACTGGGAAAAAGGGTGGGCTATCTATACAGCATTAACTAAACCAAAGGAAAGGGAGGAGCAGAGACAAAATATAGAGAACACTAAAAGGCATATGACAGTCATGTGAAACATGACACTTGGACTTGGAAATATAAGTAGGCTGATATGGGTGATTCTCACAATACTAGTTACATTGCAATCATGCTTATCCAGTGGCTTCAATACTTTCCTTCATCTTACCTAAGCAGTGCATACTGTCAACATGATGGCCTGTTCATCTTCCCACTTGCAGAAGGATGAGGTATTGAAGACTGTGACCTGAATGAGATTCCCAATCAATCCTTCAATTTCTCTGGTGTTTCTATATGAAATAAGTATGCATAGGACTAAAATCAGAGATAAACAGGCAACTAGAAGTTTTAGAAGGATGTCAGCAATTGTAGCTCCTTCAAAAGAAAGGAAACAAGTACACACATCCCCAGGGCAATGGTTCATGCAACGAATCACCGACTGCCAGAAGAAACAGTACAAGCAGCGATGAGGTTCAGGTCTGCCATTACCATGAGTTCAAGGTGAATCCTGGGCCTTTGAGATTTATTGTCCGTTCGAATTTATGAGCAGGTTGACCCTAGGATAATTTTTTTTAAACCATAATGTACTGCGTGACATTTGAATTAGGGCCAGTAGGCTTAGGAAGGCCAACAAGGGACCTTTTGGTTAAGCCAGCTCCTCACTATAAGTGAGGGGGGAGCAGCAACAGTGTCAGTGAATTGGAAGCTGTTATAGGGAAAGACTGACAAATTGCATAGAGATCCATTAGTGCCAGATAGGAAATTGTAGTTTTGTTCTGATTGGTAACTCTTTAGGCAAAACCCCTTTTGCTGCCTTTTTTGTTCTTATTGTTTGGGGTTGTCTATCATTTTATTTTTTGGTTCATTTGAGGCCAGCAGTTACTTTTAGCTCTCCTGCCCATAGCAAACTTTTTTTTTCTGCTGCAAAGCTTCCTTTTTGGCTTTTGTTTTAGATGGTGGCATTTTGGGGGATTTTATTTATTTTTGGGGTATATTGTTTTTCTTTTTATTGATTGGACCTTTTATTTTAGGTTTACACTGCCTTTTTTTCCTTTAAAAAGTGGCTTCTGCTTATGGAGTGGTATGTTGGGGTTCTCATTTCTTTTGAGGGTTTTTTTTAGATTTTGCTGATAGGTTTTTTTTTTAAAGTGCTCAACACGGAGTGTTTACTTGTTACTGACTATCTGTTCATGGAGCTGGCTTTTGTTTGTAGCATACCATTGCCTCATAGGAAAGAAAAAAAATTAATGCAAGGAACACTGGTCACCTAAACCCTCTCACATTATATTACTGATTATCTTACCCTGTATAGCTATAGACAAAATAAAAGTTAAAGTGTTACCAGGGGCGGACTGACCATTTGGAAACTCGGGCACTGCCCGAGGGCCCTGGGTCAGTAGGGGGCCCCATGAGATGCCCCTGATACCTTTTTCATAGGATTTTTGAGTTTGGGCAAGGACACAGGGGCCCCATGATCCCCTATTGTCCGGGGGCCCCATGAGTTGTCAGTCCGCCCCTGAGTGTTACTAAACCTAGGGCTCTGCATTCTCTCTGTCTGGTCTCCCACAGTACACAGAACAAGGAAATGCAATTATGTTAGTAAATATAAACTGCTAAATACCTTTTCAGCAGGTAGAGCAGTTTTGTGACTTCTATCAGTGTCCAGCCGAGCACTAGTTAAAGCTTGTAGGAGGGGTTTTCTTTCTGCTCTAGGAGGATGACCTCTGTCTTGATGGTGCTGATTGGCCCTGTGCTGATCACATGCACTCTCCCCCCCAAAAAAAAACAAAACCTCTTTAGAAATACACACCAAACTGAGCATGTACAGAGTGTTTCCACGCAATATGTCTTATCAGGAGATAAGAGGGGGACACTGAAAGAAGGGGGGATCAGAGAAGTCAGGATCAAACAGCATTTTTTACACTATGCAGAGGATTAACCCATTAGGTTCCACAGTGAGTATACCAAGCATGTTTTACGGCATATACAGATGGATTTTACTGTTGTGGGTTTAGTAACACTTTAAGTCTATTTTCACTGGCTAAAACTGTCCGGCTGCTGGCTAGTTTTACACTCCTCTGTCTTCTGCAGTTCTAACTCTTGTAGTTAAATCCCTAGCCTGTGCTCTTTGTCTCCAGTAAATTTGGGCCCAGCAATATTTACACCATTGTATTATTTGCTGTCTCTTAATTAATTTTGTAAAACACCTGTCTGTACTCATTGCCTACTGTACAATTGGGCTTATTAACCCTAATTAAAACAGTCCAAATACTGACCAATTTTATACTGCTGTATCATAAATCATGTAGTAAAGCAGCAGTCTGTGTCCTTCGTCTCTAGTAAATTTGAACTTAGCCTTGCTATTTAGAATTATACTGCTGCTGGAAAATTTTACACTGCTGTGTCATCTGCAATGTCTTAATTCTTGTAGAAAAATGCCAGCCTGTGCTCTTTTTCCTCTAGTACATTTCAGACAATTCTGCCTCTTTAAAAGGTATCCTTATGCTGGCCAATTTTACACTACTTAATGAAAGCTCAATAGAAATTTGCACGCAGCAAGACAGAAACAGTCACAGAGAATTACTGCCCAATTTCTATCTGCCAATCAAATGTGGCCTTTTTTCCCCTTGATGAAAAAGCATGTACTGCTGCTAAAGCTGCCTGAAAAAAGGCCTTTTTTTTCAAAATGAAATAAACCATATTGCGGTGTTACTGCTGTATGTAAGCCGATTGTAAAGGAAAAATTGAAATCAAATAAATAGATGTGACATTGCGTGTATTATAGTGCAAAAAAATGAAATTAAATCAATAAATTCACAATTGCATAAATCCAATAAGTGCAATATTGTATTCAAAGTTCCATCCAAATATCTGTGTTCAAAGTGTTTTTTGTGATAAAAGTGCAATAATGCAAGAGCAGGGTGTGAGTACGCGATCAATCGCACAGGGAAATCCACCACCACTCACCAGAAGATATATGATAACAGACATATATTGAATCACATCTGGAGGTGGAGAGGCAGCCAGGGGGTTAACCATATAGCTCCACTAAGGTGTAGATAGAAGAAGGGACCCTTGTCCTAGGGAAGATAGCTCAACCACAAGAGCCAGAAATCCATATATACTGTAGTGTAGTAATTTTATTAATTCAGAAGCACGTAGTAAAATCCATGTGGAATGATAAAAATACAAATGACAGGTACCAAAATGGCCGCTGCTCTGTCCTTTGGCAGCGGCGATGTGACATCAGCAATGTAGGCTGATATATTTTAGCTACTGAGAGAGGGAGTTTATTATTATTTATTTATTACAGGTACCTATATAGCGCCATCAAGTTACACAGCGCTTTACATATACATTGTACATTCACATCAGTCCCTAACCCTCAAAGGGCGTACAATCTAAGGTCCCTAACTCACATTCATACATACACATACTTGGGCCAATTTAGACAGGATCCAATTCACCTACCAGCATGTCTTTGGAGTGTGTGGGAGAAAACCGGAGTACCCAGAGGAAACCCACGCAGGCACAAGGAGAACTTGCAAACTCCAGGCAGGTGGTACTGTAGTTGGGATTCAACTAACGACCCTAGTACTGCCAGGCAGTGCTAACCATTCAGCCACTGTGCTGCCCATTTGTCATGCAATAAGTCAGAGCAACACCAGAGGCTTGAGACAGATTGTGATTAGGTTACAGCTTGTTTCATAATTCTACTAGAAGGAGTGGTCCACTATCGAGCCTTGTAGTCCCTTGTTGGAAGACAGCACAACTTCCCAATGAACACAGCTTGTAATGACATTCTCCTATAAATGGCACTTCCCTGAAATAGCTGGAAGTGTAATAGGATCTTGTCTGCAAGGCTTGATACTTTGCAACAGTCATATGTAGTTTAAGACAGGGCTTGAAATTTCCACTCACCTGCTCGCCAATGGCAAGTGGAAATTATGGTGGGGGCGAGTGTGTCCCCCAGTGCCGTTTTGCTGAGCAGGCTCGGAGCTCAGGCCGGATCTGTCATTGGCACTGGGAGCCGTCAGACTGCTCAATAGCTGAGCGCAGTGAAAGCAAAGGAAGAAGTGTGTGCTGTGCTCTCTGCCTCTTAAGAGTAACTGTTAAGGCCTTGCTAGTAGCTCAGGACTTGAAATCTTAAGCCCTGGTTTAAGACACTGACAGAATCTATTCAACTCACGGCCAAACAGTTTCTGACAGTGGTCCAACCTACTGTATACAACATACTGCATCTATGCTTTGGGAGTATCTTACACATTTAGCCTTCACAGGGTTAATCAGCCTTCCTCAATGATGCACAACAAACCTGGGACTTCAGGTTCACTTTAAACCAGGGGCGGACTGACCATTTGGAAACTCGGGCACTGCCCGAGGGCCCGGGGTCAGTAGGGGGCCCCATGAGATACTCCTGGTAACTTTTTCATAGGCTTTTGTGAGCTGGGCAAGGACACAGGGGCCCCATGATCCCCTATTGAGGGCCTGGGGTCAATAGGGGACTCCATGAGATGCCCCTGGTACCTTTTTTATAGGCTTTTTTGAGTTTGGGCAAGGACACAGGGGCCCCATGATCCCCTTTTGCCCGGGGGCCCCATGAGTTGTCAGTCTGCCCCTGCTTTAAACCACACAAACTTCTCACTGTCTTCTTAGAGGACTGATAGCCCCCAAGCTATGTTCCTTGCACATCAACTGAGATGTCACACTCTGCTTGGTGTCCACCAGTTTCCGATCCTTTCTTCAAAACAAAGCCAGCATGCACAAGGCACAGTGAACAGCCTCTTGATATCACTTACACATATTTACATACATTCTTATGCACTAGTACCAAAACCTAATTAATAGATCCATCACATGAGCCTATTGTGTCGATCATTAACCACTGCCTGACAGTAAAGTCTTTATTACAGTACCTGGTACTGGAACACAGAAAGTATTTCAGCACCCAACAACCCATTGTCACTCTGCTGGAGGGTGCAACTTGTCAGTTTTCATGAGGTAGCACCCACACTACTGAAACACTGGGGTTTATTTACTAAAACTGGAGAGTGCAAAATCAGGGATCCCTTCGGCATAGAAAACATTCAGTTTCTAACCTTAGCTTTTTCAATTACGCTTTGGCAATACAACCTGGAAGCTGGTTGGTTCCTATGCAGAAGTAAACCTGATTTTGAACTCTCCAGCTTTAGTGAATACACCCCATTGTGCCCCAGGCATGTTTCCTCCTGCATGAAGCAGACTGATGACCAGGGGCAGACTGACAACTCATGGGGCCCCTGGGCAATAGGGGATCATGGGCCCCTGTGTCCTTGCCCAAACTCAAAAAAACCTATGAAAAAAGTACCAGGGGCATCTCATGGGGCCCCTTACCGACCCCGGGCCCTCGGGCAGTGCCCGAGTTTCCAAATGGTCAGTCCACCCCTGCTGATGACACCATCCTAGTCTTGGCAAAGTCACTTGACAGGAGTTTAGGAATTGTATTTTTGTATAAAAAAGGTATGTTTTTTTTTATTTTACCTTTGCTGAATATTTGAACACGTCAAGAATGTATTTACACATACTTGTAAATGTACTAAAAAGTAAATGTGTATGAGTTTGGAGCAACACTCTGTTTAATAATATATATGACAAATAATGATAATAATAATCATAAATGATACATAATAATATTAATAACAATGATTTATAATAATAAATAATAATAATAATGATGATGATAAATTATAAATAATGATAAATGTGATGTAGGTCTTTGCAAAGCTGTCTCAGCTTGCTGCCCAAAGTTGCAGGAACAAGGGTTGCAAAAACAGAAAACTGTGGCAAATCCTTTGCTTAAAGGATAAGTTCACCTTTTGGACAAAAATAATAAATGCACATTTTTTTGCAGGTAAAAAAATGTGCATTTATTATTTTTGTCCAAAAGGAGCCTGTAAAGCATCGCACCAGCAATCACTAGATCGCTGATGCCATGCAGGTCTCCTGCAGACCTGTCAGAATAACTGCTTGCCGTATGGGATGTACGGTCAAGCAGATATACTGACAGGAAGCTTTAATGAACTACCACAGTGCTCCACAATGCCATGGTAGTTCATTGCAACTACAAGCCCACAGCCGCTAAGGCTGTTGGGACTTGTAGAAACTCGTTCACAGAACACTGTGAATGAGTGATGTGGCAGTGTGGGCGGAGCCCCACACGCCCATGCTGTTTTCAAATCTGACAGATAGTACGGGGAAACTAAAAATGGGTGGAACATGTTACATGTTCCAAAAGTGAACGTATCCTTTAACCCCTTGACGCCAACGTAACACAAATATGCAGCCTCACGGAGCTGGGCTTTTTTCTGTGGGGCTGCATATTTGTGTACCTGTCTTTGTGCTGGGAGCGCGCCTCACAGCGCGCTCCCAGCACAAATACCGCGGTGTCACTGAGAGCCCCGGGTCCCATTCTAACAATTGGGTCCCGGGACTCCCGATTCTGGGTCACATGATCGCTGTGATAGCCTCTGATTGGCTATCACAGTGATCAGTCATTGTGCAGCCCAACCCCCTTGTTTTTTTTCTCTCCCTGTGAATGGAGAAGAGAGATACATTGTATCTCTCTAACTCCTGGAATAGATAGAAAAAAAAATGTTTGTAAAAAAAAAAAAGATAAATAAATAAAAAGTTTAAAAAAAAAAGAAAAAATAAAGAAAAAATACCTAGTTCAGTGCCAGGGTTATTGTTTGGGTCAAGGTCAGGGTCAAAGGTCAAGGTCAAAAGGTCAGGGTCAAAGGTCAGGATTTAAACAAAAAATTGGTGTCAGTTTGTGTCAATGACAGTGTCATTGTGTTTTAGGTAAAAAAAAAAAAAGACCAAAACAAAATGCGCACTATTGTTTCTGGGCTGTACTACGGGTACAAATAACATACACATATATGGTATCGCTGCGATCGTCAAGAGCTGGGGAATTTATTTTGGGTTGTTCTTTGGTGGTAGGTTATGGTAGTAACAAGAAACACACAGCTAAATAAAAAAAATATTTTTTTTTTACTATTTTTTGGGCCAGTTTTCCTTTGATAATAAAAAAAAAAATCAGGAGATATCCATTACCATTTACCACTAAATGAAAGCCGAATTGGTCCTGAAAAAAAAAACGCGGTATAACTCATCTGGATGTACAAAGTAGTTGTGATGATATGTAGGTTTCACTAACACATGTCAACGTTGAAAAATTGTGCTTAGGCATTAAGATTTGTTTTACCCTTAGGCGTGAGGGGGTTAATATCATGTAATTTATCTTTCCTGATAAATCCTCCTGAGAATATTTCTCTTTCGTCTAGGTTTATCGCGTGATACTCAAATTGTGTGCTTTCTTTTCTTTGCATCTTTGTATAAGTCAAGTGAGAGTCAAACAAGTAATAGTTAAAACTGATAAATTAGTTTGGCTTTAAAAGGAAATGAGGAACTTCCTCTGACAGTTACTGATAAAGTTTCATCATGGAAAAATAAGCCTGTTAGAAATCACAAAGGAATTCCATGATCAGACTCAGCATCCCAGGGAAGAGGTTAATAACCCTTTGCTTTACTCTTTGGATCTATTATTCTTTATTATACACAAGTTTTTTTTTTTCTCCATTTACCAATTAGGTGAAAAAGCCATCCACTGGTGGACTGACAACCTGATGATGATTTTTAAATGTCTGGACATTCTCCAAGTTCTAATAGCAGAGGAAAAAAAAAGGCTAGAGATGGGCAGACATATCCCTGGGAGCAGCATACAGAGAAATATATTCCCGTAATTAAGGAACATCTAAACTAAATAACAAAATGTAATATATTGCAGCTTACCAATCACTAGATGAGGAGATGGCTTCATTTGTTTATTTTTCAAGTGATGTACAGAAAATTACCTGTTGACCCTACTAGTGTCCTTGTAACTTCTGTTGAACTGAACTGAAATCTCAAACAATTTTATTTTCCTTCCCAGCTATCTTCTGTAAACACCCAACTATGTAAAAAAAGATGAAGAGGGACGGTTGTTCTTGAAGTCAAAATCAAGACAACAGTTTAGGATGACAATGCTTCTCCACCATAGATACAGTGGAGTTACTAAATGTAGCCACCCAAGGACAGGATGTGGGATACTGGCAGATTACAGGTTAAAAAAAGATAAAAATGCCTTAAAAAATTTTAACTAATGCGGCCACAGCATATGGGGTTTAGATACTCTTTAAATCACCTGAACTAAAGCAATCTTCTACTGTTGCTGACAAAGGCTCATGTGTGGTGTGTATATTCTTTCTTTGAGTAAAAAAAAATCGGCTGATTTTCATCCCGTCTACAGCCGGCAAAAAGTGTCCCTGCAGAGAGCTCCGCTATTTCTTTGACAGTTCTTTGACATTTATAGCGGTTGCATCAATGTATCTATTTGTATCCATTTAGGATACAGATGTTTTTATTCGGAAACAAATAGATACATTGTTGCAACCGCTATGTCAAGGAACTGTCAAAGAAATAGCAGAGCTCTCTGCAGGGACACTTTTTGCCGGACTGGAATTAGTCTTCTTCTTCATCCTCTTCTTCCTCTTCTTCTTCTTCCTCTTCTTCATACTCTTCTTCATCCTCTTCTTCTTCATCCTCTTCTTCATCCTCTTCTTCTTCATCCTCTTCTTCATCCTCTTCTTCTTCATCCTCTTCTTCATCCTCTTCTTCTTCCTCTTCTTCTTCTTCCTCTTCTTCTTCCTCTTTTTCATCCTCTTCTTCTTCATCCTCTTCTTCTTCATCCTCTTCTTCTTCTTCTTCATCCTCTTCTTCATCCTCTTCTTCCTCTTCTTCTTCATCCTCTTCTTCTTCTTCATCCTTCTTCTTCATATTCTTCATCCTCTTCTTCATCTTCTTCATCTTCCTCTTCTTCATCCTCTTCTTCCTCTTCTTCTTCATCCTCTTCTTCCTCTTCTTCTTCATCCTCTTCTTCTTCTTCATTCTCTTCTTCATCCTCTTCTTCTTCATCCTCTTCTTCTTCTTCATCCTCTTCTTCTTCTTCATCCTCTTCTTCTTCTTTTTCCTTTTCTTCTTCCTCTTCTTCATCCTCTTCTTCATCCTCTTCTTCTTCTTCTTCCTCTTCTTCATCCTCTTCTTCCTCTTCTTCTTCATCTTCTTCTTCATCTTCTTCTTCTTCCTCTTCTTCTTCTTCTTCCTCTTCCTCTTCTTCTTTTTCTTCTTCTTTTTGTCTTCCTCTTGCAGGTCACTGCTCATGCGCAGATTTTTTTTATCGGTAAAAAAGATTGGCCGATTTGCCCATAATTGCTGTGAAAATCGGCCGATCGGCAAAATCGGACGATTCTTTTCCAACTTTACCGATAAAAAAAATCTGCCAAATACCGAAAAACGGCTGAACAATTAGCCCACTAACGATCCGAAAATCGGCCGAAATTATTTTCGGCCGAAAAATTGGCCGATTTTCGACCCATCTATGGCCTGCATTAGGCCCAATTCCAGGGATGTTTATCCACAGGCTGGACAATCTCTATGAGTAATTACAGGCACATCTGCTCTCCATGTCTGCTCATTATCATTTTGCAGCACTGCAGGGT